TGCGGCGGTATAGTCGCCGGAAAGAGGAATTTACATGTGTCTGAGGCCCCGGTAGGGTATATTTTCGGCCTCGATAAATTGGGACTGTTATTCGAAGGATAGCCAACACACACACACACACAATTACATTCAATGAAAACAAAATTTACAAAAAAAAAGTCACGTAGGGATTGAACGCAAATTTAAAAAAAAACCAAAAAAAAAAACAACAACAATTTACACACAAAAAAAAGAAAAAGAAAGTCACGTAGGGATTGAAAAGCAGCACTTTTCATTTATAAGGCGGATATGTTATTACCTACACTACACATTGCGCATCAACAAGCAGCCGACTGCGCACAAACAGACAGATATATGCCACAACAAAATACACTAGAAGTGAAACGACAGCATCGGCACACTTGCACCCCTTGAAATAGTATACTGTCAAGTCAGCTGCGGAATTCCCACGGATTCCCCGTGTTAGGGGTACGTAATAAATATTGTACCCATTACTGTCCTCTTGCGTCTTCCTCCCGGAATGTAATTTCCCTGGCTGTTTCGACCATCAGGTTAAAAAAAATGTTCGACATTGGTGCTTTGAAGGCTTTGAATACTAAACTTAAAATGTGTACTTTTGTATGAAGCAGAAAGATGGAAAACAACTAAGGAATGAAAAAAAAAAAAAACCACGGAGAAGGGAGCTGGAAAATGAAGCTAGAAAGATAGGGAGGACATGAGGAGAGCTGCATGCGACAGCAAAAGATAGAACTACTTGGCGTGAGTTGGTTGAGGGCCTATGATTCATTGAGGGCTAGAAAGGCAGAAAGAAGAAGAACAACTATAATTTAAATACAACGTTCAGTTGTACACAAAGGGAAGAAATCACTCAATAAAAAGGCAAACTTTTACTTTGAAAAAGAAATTTCATCTTCTGTGTAATGTCTCTCCTTATCCACGCCACATCTGGCGAGTGACTGATGAGACGACCAGGCTTCCACTGGTGTTCCGCCGTACGACGTAGCTACGAGGCCAATAGGGTAGCCCAGAGCTCTGTGTATGGCTTTCCCATAGAGCCAACACACAGCGGAGAAATATGTCCAGATTGGGCCTCCTAGACTCACTGCAAATAACAGGTTAGTCGCTTTGAGGATTCGTTTGGGAAATATATTAAACTTGCATAAAGACGAACATAATAATAATAGTAGTATTAATAATAACGATAATGACAATTACAATAATAATAACCTGCCCTGCTGAATGACTGGCCAATCGTTAGTCTTCACTTCTTACAATCTCTAAAATCATGCAACAATTCATTTACTGATTATGATGATCAAAATACTGCCAATTATCCACTTTCGTTATCGTTATTTGTTTCTTTATTTAGATCTTTTAAACTGTCACAAATATATTCCAATAACTCTTTTCTCGCAATGTGTTCAATGAATGACGACTGTCTCTTTTTACAATATTGTGATAGGTTCTCTTCTTATTTCAACATCCTTCAAAATATCGTGGAACACAGGAGGAATTTACCCTTGCAGTCCCAAAGGAATGTACGATGTGCGATTTGGCTTATTCCCATGAAGCCAACCAACCATGTGTCCTGAAATTTATAAATTAAGTTAGAACTTACTACTAAACATTGGCTTCCTTCGGGGGATTTTTCATGGTGTTTACATCTTTGAGCATTTCGTCCATCTTACTTGAACAGCATTGTAAAAGAAGAAAGCTATGAATGCAAAACGAAACACACTATTTGAAGAGTAAGAAAGACTGTCTCAAACAGAGAAATCACTCTTGTCATTTGTATTATATTGTGCGCAAGAACATACCGTTGCTTGGTGTTGTCCAAGACTGTTTAATCTCAGCAAGATCATACAAAGGGGTTGTGGAGTTGGCGTTTTCCACTGTCATCAATCGGATCAGTGGATAGTTGTGGGCATCCTCTAGTTCTTCAGCAGCGCCGTACATCTGTGGATACAAATTACATAGTCAATGTAGTTAGACCATATCGATTTACAGCAGGAGATGTAGTTTATCATAAGAAATATTTTCATTAATATTTCGATGGCTTCCCTTTTCAAAGTAGTGGATAGCAGCAGTGTTTATTTTCGCTGGCTGTCAATTCTCTCGGATTGTTCTGTTTCCTTATCACGGACTGCTTTTTTGTGCGCATTTCCAACGCAGGATACTATGTGTTTTTTGTGGGAGCGGGGTGTATTGTGGTTGTGCTAGTTAGTTAGTTAGTTAGTTAGTTAGTTAGTTAGTTAGTTAGTTAGTTAGTTAGTTAGTTAGTTAGTTAGTTAGTTAGTTAGTTAGTTAGTTAGTTAGTTAGTTAGTTGGGTTTTCATCATTGCACTCCGGACATGTCCATAGGTGCTCAAATCCTCCCCTCAGTATGAATCCCAACGTCCGATGGCTAATAGTACCAGTCCTATGTTGATTAACAAGTCTTCTGGAGTGTCTGGTGTGCGTCTCGTTTTTTGCTATGCTGATCTTAATTCCCAAGTCTACCATTCTGGCAAGTGATGTATGGTATCACTGCCCCCAAAGTCCTCTATCCTTCCCATTTATTTGAGGGCATTAATAATATCAGCATGATCCATGGGCAGACCGTCGGTAGTGATAGCGGATCTAGCCAACCTATCAGGTCTTTCATTTCCATCGACTTGGTTGTGCTATGTCGGGGCGGAATAATGACAGATTGTTTTGGCAGTCTCGACCACACTTCCTGCGCAATGTTTTGATCGAGGCGGCCCACTTTGGAAGACAGAATCTCGTCAGCAGTGGACTGCAACTGTCTAGAGAGCAAACTCGATAAAAGCTGTCCCCAGAAACGGAATATGTCAACAATAATCTGGGTGGTGAGAAATCGACACATATAGTTAACTCAAGGCGATGGCCACAAAGAAATGTGCAGTAACATGTTTGTTTTTGCTGTTGTTGTAAATTTAACCTCATACTTTTGTATCACTAAAATTTTTAAAATTTGCAAGCAGATAACTTGAAAAAAAGAATACGAGCTATTAAATTACTAAAAATAGATATATTAACTATTTTGAAAGCCTGGATAAAAAAAAAAAAAAAAAAAGACAACAATATGCATTTATGTGTATGTGTGTATGTGCATTTGAATAATGAGTGTATTATGTTATAATTGTCAAAATGATTTGTGGTGAGCTGTCAGACCACCTCACGGGAATCTTGCGGCACTGAAATGTCACAACTTGTACACAGTGTTTATTCTACTCATCTTTAAGGTCGCAACATACAGGAAGGAAGTTAGCAGCAGCCATGTTCCTGAGTGGGTAAACTCAGTCTCAGCGCGTCAGTTGTCATTTGTGGGTGACCCTTTTGCCTTCTTGTTTGGAAAGGAGCAAAACAGGAGGAGCACAGAAGAAGAAGAAGAAGAAGAAGAAGAAGAAGAAGAAGAAGAAGAAGAAGAAGAAGAAGAAGAAGAAGAAGAAGAAGAAGAAGAAGAAGAAGAAGAAGAAGAAGAAGAAGAAGAAGAAGAAGAAAAAGAAGAAGAAGAAGAAGAAGAAGAAGAAGAAGAAGAAGAAGAAGAAGAAGAAGAAGAAGAAGAAGAAGAAGAAGAAGAAGAAGAAGAAGAAGAGGAGGAAGAGGAAGAAGAAGAAAAGAAGAAGAAGAGGAGGAAGAGGAAGAAGAAGAAAAGAACAAGAAGAAGAAGAAGAAGAAGAAGAAGAAGAAGAAGAAGAAGAAGAAGAAGATGAAGAAGAAGAAGAAGAAGAAGAGGAATTAGAAGAAGAAGATGACAAGGAGGAGGAGGAACAGGAAGGACAAGTAAACCCACAAGAAGAACTTGAAAACAAAAACACAGTGAAGAAGAAAGAGAATAATGGAAAAAAAAATAGGAGGCGAAGAATGAAGAAGACAAGAAAAATGAGGATAATGATCATGGAAAAGAAAAAGAACAACAACACAAAGATATTACTATTTAAAAAAAAAACAGTTTAAAATACAAATTCGTGCACACACACACAGACACACACACACGCACACAGCAGATATTTACCATTATAACTGTAAACGCCATGTTGGATTGTCCAGAGCAAATCCAGACATCGCCAAAAATGACATCCGTGAGTGTTAGAGAAACACCTTGAGAAGTGACTTTAATGCTAACGGTCGTGTTGCCTGCTACGGGATCCAGTGTGAAACCCCAGGTTCCAACACCCGGCTCAGGGCCTTGTTTTACCGTCGTCTCATAAACAAGTGGTTTTATACTGGGTGTAATCTGTACAAAAACAATAAACCACGAGAATCTTTTACACCAAAGGCGCTTCAGGAACATGCTGCAAAGCCATACTTTTATAGACTAATTAACACTTGATAGTTTTGTTATGCTATCAAGAATTGACATCACAACACTCGGGGCATTCCCATGCGAACTCCATCCTTATCTTCAGTAGCCAGCGCAGTTTCAATAATAATGGTACCGGTTGTTATCTGATATGTCCGTCTTGCCTTTCCTCTGAGTGTAGTGAGCCGGTTAGAACTTCTAGTTACATTCAGGTGCATCATTCTTTCCAGGCTATAATTATCTTGTTTCTCTTCTGACATCCTTACACGTTCCTAAAGGGCATTGACCACATCTACCTTGTCGCATATCAAATCACCAACCAGTGGTGCAGATCCAGCCAATTTGTCTGCATGTTCATTCCCTACCACGCAGGCATAGTCTGGAGAAAAAATTTAGAGTATGCTGACTACCCGTGACCTTCCCAGTGAAGCTTGCCAGTCTGCTCAAAGTATCTCTGTCTTCACTTCTCTCAGCATGCTTTCAGTGTTATGTTATGTTAACATAATAAGCGATACAGCATACAGCACATTGGACATTCCCATGCGTGCTCTGTCCTCAGATGCAGTAACCATTCCAAGGTACTTCTACTAATGGTTCCAATGAGAGATTGGTTATAATGTCTCCTATATCGGACCCGAAGCAGCACAGACACTCCTATGTCCCGCAATCATGTTAGTGTCAGAGATTAGTCCTTATCCACTAGTCCATTCCGTACATCGTTGATGATATCTGCTTTGTCCATGCTACTTCCCAAGCGCGTTTGTGCATTGCTCGCCAATTGGTCTGTTTGCTCATTACCCTAAATGCCCAGGTATGCAGATCCAATTAAGAGAGTTTAGGCTTGATGGGTTATGTGGTTAGCCTTATGCCAGACGCCATTTTTTTCAGAAACACAAGAAGAAGAAGAAGAAGAAGAAGAAGAAGAAGAAGAAGAAGAAGAAGAAGAAGAAGAAGAAGAAGAAGAAGAAGAAGAAGAAGAAGAAGAAGAAGAAGAAGAAGAAGAAAGAAGAAGAAGAAGAGTTAGGAGAAGGAGAAGAAGGAGAAGGAGAAGAAAGAGACAATATTTAAAAAATAAGACACATACATACACAAAGTATTCGTGTGGTTTTTGTTTGGTTTATGTATGTGCTAATGAAGGCTCTATAGCCGCGACGTTCACGTCGTGCTTGTTACATTGTTCTACTTTTAATCTGGTTTTATATCTTTTCATTTAATTTTTTGATATACATTTTAGACTTTTTTTCAAACTTACCCGATTAAGCTTTAAACTTATCTCATTAGAGAACGGTAGTATCTTTAATGATATATATATATATATATATATATATATATATATATATATATATATATATATATATATATATAATTAGGGCTGTACCGAATAGTGATTTTCACTATTCGGCCGAATACGAATACGAATAGTGTATAGTGTATAAAATATATCTAAAAGAAAAAAAAACCACTTTTACTTTCACATAAATTAGCACAGAAGAACTTCTACTTCTTTAGCATTGTGAGCCCTTGAGTTTTATTGCTGTAGATATCACTCGTCTCCATTCATCTCTCTGGTTGGCCTTATCTTCACAATTTGTGACACCAGTTGTCTGCAGGTCTGGCTGGACATTATCTCTCGAACTTCTTTTTTGTCTGCCTCGTGGTCTACGCCATTCCTCTCTCAGGTGTATACAGCTTTTACTTCTCTGTCATCTGACATTCTTTCAATATGACCCAACCATTTTAGTCTGTTAGCTCTCATGATGCCTGTGATCAATAGTGATTTAACAGATTATGTGTTACGCTGTTGCTTCTCATTCTCTATTTCCCGCTGTTTACATCTTTGATGGGTCCAAAGATTCGTCGTAAGACTGTTTTCGAAAACCTAAAATAAGGCTTCATCTCTTTTATTTCCGCTTCAAGTTTCAGTGCCATATAAAACGACTGGTCTTATCAACATTTTATATATTTTGATCTTGGTGTTGCGAGACAGATACTTTGACTTTAGCAGATGTTGAAGGGCATAGTATACTTATTTCTAGATTGTATTCTAGATTGTATTTCTTCACTCAGCATGTTGGAGCAGTTGAAGTTTGCACCCAACTAATTATGTGTTTCCGTTCGTTTGAGTTTTATATAATCGACTTGGATGTGGCCGAAGTTTATATTCTTTCCATGTCTAGTTAGTATTTGTACAGAATAGTAAACATTTAAAAACATTTTATGTTTTGCATCCTTCAGTCAGTCTGTGGTAACTCATAACTAGGAATTAAAGAGTCCTAAGTATTATAAAAAGTAACTAAACTTGTCACGGACAGCTTAGTTAATGCAGGAAAGCTGCATTATCTTTCAACAAAACAAATCGTTCCATGTTGTCAGCATTAAGGCCGTGTATGCAGAAGCAGGTGTAAGGTAACTACTATTCGTATTCTGCCCGACCGCAACTATTCGGCCGAATACTGAATAGTGAAAAGGTCCACTATTCGGCCCGGAAGCGAATACGAAGCGAATATTCGGTACAGCCCTAATATATATATATATATATATATATATATATATATATATATATATATATATATATATATATAGCTAATCTTATTTTGCGGAAGTAAATCACTGACAATATGAAGATGATATAACACACACACACACAAACACACACACACACAAAGTGTCCAAAATACTTCGAGCCTGCAGGTAGGCATCTAGATAATGTGTGGCTCACGTCTATAATCGAAGTAATCACTAAAGAAGCCCCTGTTAATACTGAGTCTTAGCTGCAGGTTTTAAACGATATCACATTGCTCAATCTTTCTAGAAAAAAAAAAAAACGGGGAAGGGACATCTATTGACCAAAGAGTGTCGTACAAAGCACGATATTCTACAGCGATGACCCCTTATCTCCAGAAAGCCTGCTTTGGCAAAATACCGAAGAGGTAAATAATAGAGAGAAAAGAGAGGATAGAGGTTATTGATAAACAGACTTCATTTAAATATGACAGATAACCAGCTGACTATTTGTTTGTAGCACAACTTGCTGATGTACATTCCTCATTTATGGATATTAAATCCAAAGGTTCAGTGGCTCAGCTACTGAGCCCCATATTTTCAGTACTGAGCTCTGTGCTTGGTGCGACACTAAGCTAGGGATTTCCTGAGCAATTTTTTTTTTTTTTTTTAAATCTGATGAGCGCGCAACGGTTCTATGTTGTAAACTACACCAAAAATGGCAGTTGGCCGATTACATTCGGAATGACATGTACCTATTCAGTGTTGCGGGTGCGATTTCTGCTTTCGTGATTGACTTCTTGCATCACCAGTGTGTTTCAATTCTGGTGATGGAGTATTAGTTTTGGTATGTCTGACAGCTGCATTATGCAAACAAACTGCATGTATCGGCTTCAAGATTTTGCTAGGACTGGTATATTTATCACTAGTTGTTTAACTGGGACAGTGAAGAATTAGTTGTGCCATTTCTGCTAGCACAGAAACGGGGCAGTTTTGAGGTAAACCGTCTGCACTGAGGTTGAAACCTAGACTAACTATTATTAGCTTGAAGAGATAGATTAGAAGTGGATGATTTACAGACCAGATTCAGAGTTTAGATTTAAAAAAGGGAATGGAGGACGACAGCAGAGAAAGAATAAATAGTGTATAAGAATTGTAAAGAGAAAAAACAAAGAGTGTTGAAGTTTAGGGTGGAAAAGAGACGGTGAGTTCAGGTGAATGATAAACTAAGGAGGGACAGAAGAGATGATTCACAGATGAGATGGAGAAGTAGGAGAGTGAGAATTTACACAAAAAGAGACTATGATAGTAATGACAAGAGAGGAGGTCCGAAAGAATGAAATACAAGAGGAAAGAAGAGAGGGCAGGTGAACAGACAGTGAGGAGAGGACACACACACGCACACACTCATAGAAGTACACACATATTTATCTAATGTTATTGCAAAATTACTACATGTAATGCGAAGTCGACACACAATGATGGGCGTATGTGTAACAAGAAATCGTTATTGTAATTACAACAGAAAATCACAACAAAGGTGTTTGCTTGAACAGGGGAAATAAGATAATTAAAAGGAGAATATTATTTAATTTAGTTTTTTTTTAAATGTCCTTAAATTCAACATCAGGGTAAATGTGACAAGCAAGTTAATTAGTTAATCAACAGACTTTTCTTACGGCAGATGGAACAAGCGCTCGGATTCCATCTTCAGTATATCCCCATCGTGTGGCGACTGATAACATCAGTTCTGTGTTGTTTTACTATTCTCATTTGGCTTCCTGTATAGTGTTTATGTCTGGCGACGCCTATTGTGACCTAACGTTCTTGTAGTCTTTTAAGTGTTGCCGACTCACTGTCTCTCCTGAAAGATCTTCTCGTCCTGTTTCATTGACAGCACTGAGCGTGTCGACCCGGTCCATCGCTTTTCCTGTACCGACCGTGGCCCTGCCAGCAAGCTAATCCGCTCGTTCATTCCCTCCTACCACAGAGTGTTCTGCACAATAGTGAAACTGATTCCTATCAGAGGAGATTTCCTCAGCGGCTGAAACAATTTGCTTCGAATCCATCATATCTCTACCCTTTTAAGCATGTTCGTGTAATCAGTTAGAAAACAATCAAGAGAAAAACGCTGCGTCTCTGGCCCCACTATTGCTTTTGTTACAGCCGTGATGGCATAGTCAGACTACTTGTAGGTAAGGCAAAAGCACCGCTGTCCTCTTCTACAGTTTTCCTCCGAATCAGAACTGTAAAAGTCCATGAACCTTTTACGTGTCGAACGACGGATCTATTGATGTAGATAACTGCACCTCCGTCAGCAGCATTTTCTAAATTTAAGGCCTCAATTTTGACGGACTGAGAATGCTATACACCAGTCTGTTCCAGCAAGTGTTACCATAAAACGCACGTCGTACCAGGCTATTAAATTCCTT